AAGTTGATAAGCCTTCCTCCAATTCTGGTGACACACTCCTCTTCATATAATACAGCTTCTTTGATCATTTCTTTAACATATGGATTGAATAAGTATGTTGAGAGAATATGTGGTACTCTGAGTAGACTAGAGAAATAAATTCATAGACACTCATATGTGTATAACAAAGAGGTTTACATACAAGAGCAATTGAATACTGAGAAAACATCCCAGCCCAGTTCTGATCAATGCCATAAGTCTGATATTAGCCCACTTATCCAATTCCAAACTATAAATTCCTCTTCAGACTCAAACAACAAATGCATGACTCAGAATGCAGGATGAGCACACTGCCGTGGGTGGAAGAACTTGTGGATCCAGTGAGATATAAGCACCTCAGTGCAGCCAAGGGCTTCACTTGGCTTCTCCAGCTCCAGGGCTCTGGCTGCCATCAGCCTGTCTCCATGTGGCTTGCCAACAAGAATGTCTCACAGCGACTGAGACTGTGTCCCGTCTCCAGCAAGTGATTTATCTCCTTAGTGCCGCCAAATAAAGTCAACTAGCAGCAACTTGCTTGACAGGGTAGACTCCACCTCTTTACCCTGAATCTTCAAATTGACACCAGATTAAGTGACTACCACAGGCCACAGCTTATCAATATGACATTTTCACATAACTTGTTAGCCATATATAATTTTCAAACAATAATAAAATCATATCTATACCTAACAGGATAAAATTAAAATGCATACAATCCAATATGTGCCATTCTCATTTAAACATAACATAGAATTGATATTAAATGAACATCTTTACAGATATGCCTAGAAACATTTCTCCATCCTGTCTGGAAATTATTTCTACTTGCATATAATATTATGGAAAATAGGAAAAATTAGAAACCTTAAATTCTCCATTTTTTTTTTAATAATCAATTTATTGGGGCTCATACAATTCGTCACAATACATAGATCAATTATTTATCAATAAAATTATTGTTCTAATGTATAAAAGTGATTTTTAAATCTTGTAATTTTAATTATGCAATACAGAAAAATGATCATCTGCTTCCTTAAAGACTGCAGCCAATAGAATCCTGTGGAGCAATGTTCTTCTCCAGCACATGGTGTCTCCACGCCTCAAAATCAACTCCAAGGCCATGGGTTTGGTTTCTTTTTTTCTAATATGTCAGTCAAGACATAAAGATGGAAGCCAAGGCATAAAATTGGCATCTAAATATTTGCCCATGTGTCCACAAATCCTTGGAAATAATATCTTCTTGAATACAGGGTTCTGCAAAGATGTTTTGTGTTTGTTAGTTGCTGTTCAGTCCATTTTGAAAACAGTAACACCACTTACAACAGCAGTACATAAAATGACCTTGAACCAGCCTTACAATGTTGCTGTGCTGGAGCTTAATATTTGCTGCCTTTCTTTTTAATCCCCAACTGTACTTTACCAGGCACACTGTCCTTCTTGAGCCAGTGGCCCCTTCTGATAACATGTCAAGAGTACATTGGAGAAGTCTCACTATCCTTGCTTCTGTGGAGAATCCCAGCTGTCATGGACTCAATCAATATATTTTAGTCTTCTGGAAGCCTATGGTTTTATATTCATATTATTCATCAGCACCATAATTCAGGTGCATACGTTTTTTCCAAGGTCTTCCTTATCCATTTTGCAATTTTTACAAGCATATGAGATGATTGAAGACATCATCGTTTTTGTGATGAATATTAGGCTCCAAATTACATCTTTAATTTTGAACATTTTAAAGCAATGTATAGGAGCAGATAGGCCCAATGCAATGCCTTGTTTTATATCTTGAATGCTGTTATTATGGAAGTTAATTATAAATTCAAGTAAATGAAATCCTTGGTAAATTCAAACTTTTCTCATTTTATCATGATGTGATTAATGGAACTGTGAAAATTATTTTCTTTTATATTGAAGTACAGTTCATGCCAGGGGCTGTAGTCATCATTAATACATCATCCAAATACTGCCAACGATGGAATCGTGTTAACTGATTATGTTAAAGAGGAGAAGTTGAAGCTTCTAAATTTTACAAAGAACCAGCTGAAAGTATTCTTTCAAGGGTCTATCTCCATAATTATAAAATACGTTTGGATTGCCTAAAATACATTGAAACAACAAATAAAATCCTCTGCTGTTAAGTGGACTTCCACTACAAGAGGAACTGTTCTATGGGGTGTTTGAAGCTGTTGCAATGAACTCAATGGCAGTGAGTTAGTGTTTGAGAATCTTTCCAGAAGACGGCTGTTTTCAGTGGTCGGGTCTGCTCAGGTTTCCCGTAGCAGCCCCTCGTTTGTCCTACTTGATCATCAGCGCTACTTAACTGAAACTCTGGAAATGAAAGTCCTAGAAAGAGAGGAGAGCAAACAAAGTCCACACAAAAGTATTCTTAAAAATAAGTGTCAAGGGTATTTCAAGTGCAAAAGTTATCCATCCACAAACTCAGTGTGTCAGTCTGGGTAGACTAGGGAAACAAATCCTTATATGTGTATAAGGGAGAGGTTTATATACAAGAGGAATTGAACATTTAGAAAGGATCCCAACCCAGTTCAGTCCAAGTGCATAAGTCTGATCCTAGCCCATATGTCCAATACCAATCTATAAAGTCCTCTTCGCAGTCACAAAACACATACAATGATGTCAAATGCAGGACGATCACAGGCCAGTGCGTAGAAAGTCTTTGGAACCAGTGGCGTTGTGAGCATCTCAGTGCTGGCAGGGGTCTCTACATGGCATCTCCGGTATCAGAGGTCTGGTTGCATCAGAGTAAGCCCATGTGGCTTCTCTAAGTTAGAACACTAGCACAGTTCCATGTGTCTTGTCAGCTGCAATATCTCCCAGGGAGTGGCAGAGAGATACAGGGTCTCCGCCTCCAAGCAGGAATACTGGATTTCCCAGATTCTCAGGAGAAAGCCATGCCCACACAGGGGTCTCATTGGCTATCTTGATTGACAGGCTAGATTCCACCCCTACATTCTTAATCCTTAAATTGACAAATGATTACATAGCTACCACACTTTGGGTTGTCAGTGAAAATCAAGATGTAAAACCAAGTGAATACCACACTTGATGTTCTCTTCATGATAAACGACTGAAATTGTACCCAAGAAAAATCATTATGTCTGTTAAGTTCTTCATAATGAGGTTTTTAAAAAATGTTTTTATTGTTTTAATAAGATGTAAAATGTCACTTCATTCTTCTTAGAACACCCAACTAAAATTTAAAAACCCAACTGAAGCATCTGATAAGATCAATGAACGCTCACCTTAAAAGGATGAGGCTATCAGTAAAGTACAAAAATAACAATAATGGAATTCGTACATCACATTGCCAATGATTTGGAAACCCAAATAAAAAGTAATGAAAAATATATGGATTTCAATGGACTTTCATGAAGTACTTCATTCACGAGGCAAATGGAAATGTCATATGTTGAAGTTTTCCATGCTTTAAAACAAAGTGCCACAAACAGTATAAAAAAACACACATGGTTTTTGTATCAGAATTTCTGTCAAACTGGATAGTGGGTAATGCTTAACTGTACAATCTGTAGAACTTTCAGGTTTCATGAAGGCTGAATCTTCATGTGTAGGCTCAATTGGGGAATGAATATAAGTAGCACATACAGTGGCATTAAGGAACAGCCTGCTGATGACACTGGACATTTCCACTGCTGGGGTGTACTTCGCCTCTTTAGTACCTTGCATCAAAGCAAATGCTGAACACTAATTTTTCTTTTTCATTTTCTTTTGTAAAATGAAAATGCTCTCAGATTTCCTTAGATTGGAATAAACACTTAATATAAATCTTAGATAAATGTGAAATATAATTCCAACTGTTAAAAAGTGGAGAAACCTCTCTTTTTAATTAAGCGGTGTAGAATAAGCATTTATAACATTGCAACACCATAAAAGTCTCAGAAAAATAGAAATGTGTGTAGGTGGGGAATATCCTCAAGTTGATAAAGGATATATATCAAACACACCTGCCATGATACTTGACTTTGGCTTCCTATTTGACTGTAGTGTTTTACTGTACACTGTAACCATATAACTTGGCTTCTGAAACTCTAGGTTCTGACTGCGTTCCATTGGTAAGCTTATGGAAGACTTGCTAGCATGGTGTGTGTTTGTGTGCATGTGTGTGTGTGTAAGAAGGAGGTATCTTCTAGCAAAATAATTGAGCCAAAATCTTATGTAGGTATAATCTACATAGGCTCTTTAGTTAGTTTCTGATATAAAGCACTTTACTAACCAAAACAGCTTTTATTTTATAATAACAAAGAAATCTGCAGATATTGTAAAAGCATCTTTATTAAGCCCAAATCTGAATACATGTGTATAGATTCATTACTATGACTCCAGGAACACCATATATTTTACTAAAATATTAACATTGTATAGTTTAAGAAATATTTCCTAAAGATTTAAAAATAAAATAATTATTTCTACTCTTCACGAATAAATTACATCTCAATATATCTACACTAAAATGAGTTGCATATTTTTATTTTTAATATTGGTTCATAATGAAACATTTTGAAGTGAAATAAGAAAATTAGTTTGAAAGAGTGAAGTTTTTAAGCAGCACATAAGAGAGCACCATAAATGAGCTTTATACCATTGAAAGATCAAAATGAAGGGGAAGTTTTACTTCACAGTAAAAATTTATAGGCCACTTAATGACAACAAGGACACCCGGTGGTGTACTGATTAAGTGTTGGGCTACTAAGAGCAAGGTCAGCGTTTTGAAACCACCAACCATCTCCCTGCACTTCCTACTACTCTAAAGAGCTACAGTCACTGAATCTCACAGGGGAGTTCTACCATGTCCTATATGGTCGCATTGACTTGATGGAAGTGAGGTTTGCTTTTTATGTTGTTGTTAATCACAACCATAATATAAAAATAAAATAAGTCTGAATATAATCATATACGTTAAAATTTCAATTAGCTATAGTTGTTTCCTTTAAAAAAGCAAATATTTATTTTTTTAAGGTAAAGAAGATAAATTTTTGAATGATATCATTTAAGGCATTTTTCACTTGTTTATTTCTGAGGGTATATATAAAAGGATTTAGGACAGGTGCCACTGATGTGTTGAGTACAGCTATCCCCTTGTTTAAAGCAACTGTGTCCTGTGCAGAAGGCTTGATATACATAAAAATGCAGCTGCCATAAGAGATGGAGACAACAATCATGTGGGAGGAACAGGTAGAAAAAGCCTTCTTCCTCTGCTGGGCAGAAGGGATTCTCAGAATTGTTCTGATGATGCATACGTAGGAGAGTATCACCAATGTCAATGTAATCAGCAATATGAAAATGGCTGAAATAAAGCCTAACAAATCTATGGTCCGTGTGTCTGTGCAGGAGAGTTTTAGGAAAGGAGAAAGGTCACATCCAAAATGATCAATAAGATTGTCATCACAGAATTCCAACCCCAAGCACAAGATAAGTCCAGGAGACACAATTAACAAGCCGACCAACCAACAGGCAGCAACAAGCTGGGTACAAACTCTGCTGTTCATAATTGTCGTATAGTGAAGGGGTTTGCAGATGGCCACATAGCGGTCATAGGACATGGCAGCCAACAGGAAAAACTCTGATATGCCAAACAACATGGCAAAAAATAGTTGTGTCATACAAGCCTCATAGCAAATAGTTTTATCCCTAGTCACAAGGCTAAATAGGTACTGAGGAATGCAGACAGATGTGAATGACATTTCTAAAAATGAAAAATTCCGAAGGAAGAAATACATGGGTGTCTTGAGTTTGGAAGTCAACAGAGTGAGCAAGATAATTGTCAGATTTCCGATGATACTCAATATATATGTTATAAATAGAAAAAAGAAAATTACAATTTGCCAGTTTGGATCATCGGTCAGTCCTAGGAGAATGAATGTTGTTACCACGGTGTCATTTCTCATTGTTAAAATGCTCTGAGTTCCAAGGTGGCTAGAAAAAAATATTTATAAGTTTAAAGAAAGCATTAATAAATATAAATTTAAAAGTGACAAACAGATAAATTCCACTGAAATTTTTATATGTTGTGTTTAGCTTATCTTCTTTTACATTATTATATACTGGATCTCTTAAAAATAGTTATAATCTGAAGATTTATTTCCAGTTTATTTGGGGGTTCCTTGATACTACCAATGGATCTATATTTAATTATAAAAAACTTATGAAATTTAGTATCATGTTAATGTCTAAATTATTATAATAATTTCACATTAAAAATTTTCATGAAATATGGAATTACTTTACTCAATTGGTAAGTTTCCATTTCATGAATCAGTTTATCAATGTAAGAAATGCAAATTTCCTTTCACCAAAAATAATGTACCTCCAAATTTGTTAAATGCAAAGAAATGTATATTAATCTAATATTTAATTATAGCATTGAGAGTTTTTGTTCATGGAGTTATTTGTCTATATAATCCACAAATTTTGATGTTTTTCAGATGTGTACATTGAAACTTTATCATGACTCTCACAAATGTTTTCTTTGTCTACAAATCTAAATGTAGTCAATTTAATTGTACAGTCAAGTACCCATAAAATAATGAATTATTTGCCAATTACTTTGCACACAAAACAACATAATATGAAAATACTTACTTTTCAATGATTTGTACAAGAATGTTGTTTATTAATTCATCATGAATTTGTTCTCTGTATCATTAATCAAAAAGTTGATAACACTGACATCTGCAATAGAATATTTATATCTCTCAACCCCATATTTTTTCCTCTCTTCCTGAGTCCACGGAATCCTTGTTCACATGATCCAGGAACATCTCATCACAAAGGAAACCCTTTTTAGTATCTCCTTCTTTCCAATAAGTGCAGAGTTGACGTTCTCAAAGACCCTCTTCTAACTACCTTTCAAATAAAAATGTATACTGGGTGGGTTTCTTCTAACAGTCTAGTAATTGAATGGTTTACATGCACTCAGATTTCTTTTTTACTACATAGCCCCAATTCTCTTAAAAATACCACAGTATATTTATCTTTGTGTTTAATAGCAAACACTTTATTTGCTGCAGTAAATGCCCTAGGGAGTCTTGTGAGTATGATAACTGCTGATTATTATCATCAAGAATTTAAAAAGCAAACAAAATAATAGTTAATTAACAGTGTCATTATGGGATCTATTGGGAAATCTGAGTTGTTAATGTTAAAATGGAGCCTCATTCCCATAGTGGATATTGTAAAGTTGTAGTAAAATTTTGAGAGACACTTGGATGGTACAACCAGTTAACTCTTCATCTACTAACTGAAAACGTTGGTAGGTTGAATCCACAAAAAAGCACTTCATTAGAGTGGCCTAGGCTCGATAATGTGCTTCAGCAAAGTCCTAGTCCTGCAGTGACTACCTGGGTTAGAATTTACGCAAAGTGAACTAAAAACAGCAACAACAATTTTCACTTTGGGATTTCGCAATACATATGAGGTGACACTGGTCCAAATAGAAGAAAACTGGGGTCTCCCATCATGAGCTGAAAAAGACAATTAAGATAATGTTTACCTCTATTTAATGACAGCATGGACTGAGATCTCTAATTTTCTGAAGCGTCACCATTTAACACATCAAATATGTTTTAGGGTCAAATATACTATTTCCTTTCCTTGTCACTCATGAAATTATAAATATGCAATAATAAATTGCAATTAAAATTTGAAATATTTTCTCAAAATATTTATTATATGCTGATATGGTACACAGGGGGAATGACATAACTGATAATTTGCTAAGTAACTAATTACATAACTAACTGTAAATAAAACACTTTTAGAGGAAAAAAAATATATAGAAACTCAACCACTGATTCCTAAGCCAGGGTTTCTCAAAGTGTGTGAGATCACCCCTAGCAGCACCCTGGAACGACCAAGGGAGCTGCACCATCAGTTACCTTCGTTTATCCTGGATTTGGGGAAACCGTTCACAAGTTAGTAATTGCCGGGGGGTTGCTGTGTCATACTGTTTTTCTGAACAAGTGGTGGTAGGCCAAGTGACTTTGGGAACCTATGCTTTAAACCCAAAGAATATCTTTTTTCTTTCATATAATATCATGCAAAAATCAGGAATTTCTCCTATTTAGTTTTATCAAGAAAACACGTGGACTTATGGTTGAAACGCCCCAGTGTGAGGAGAAACAGATGTTGACTGTCCCGAGGTTACAGAACTGACGGTTCTTGGACTTTGGTTTGGCTCTCTTGCCTTGAGGATGCCCAGCGAATGCTGGTCTGTGTCTATTCTGTATTTCCTACTTTAAAGCCCTCCTTGATTTATTACGACATGTATTAATCTGGTAGGCATGACTCTGATTGTGTGAATGAATGTTATTGAAAAATTTGCCCTGTCACCAACCCCCATTGTTTGTATAAATGGTGTCCAGTCACTTAAGAGTTAATCTGTACAAGTCAATAATTCATATATTGTGGTTCACATCAGGCCTATACTTGTATCATTTCATTTTTTAACAGTGTTTTACATTTTTTATCATTGGCTAAATTAATGACACTATGATTGATAATGTTCGCTAACATAAAATGATAACAAACAGAGGCATATATAAACCGCACATATGTGAATGGATTTGGGGTTTGTACTTAATTCTAACTCCAATCTAATGACAATTAATTCTTATGACATGGTCCTGCTTCACACTCACCCTCAAGGGATATCACTAAAGATATCGGTGGTACAGCAAAGTGTGGCAAAGAAACTAGATGGTGCTCTGCTATCTGAAAAAGTAGCCTTTGGGATCTTTAAGGCTTGTCTTCAAACAAACTGTCATCTAAGCGAGGTATCAATCAAGTCCACATGGAAGAAGCACAGCAGCCTTTGTGGTCCAAGGATTGTAAGAAATTCCATCCAAATCTGATGGAGGGACTAGCATCCAAGGAAAAATTTTGAACACTGTTTACAAAAGGCATGGATGACAGTGGAAGCCAAAATCCATTTGTAGGGTTCACACAAGCATTTAGTCTTCCCCTCTCACCACAGTTAAGGTATGTGAACAGTCTCAATGGTGGAATTCAGCCAGTTCAGTAGAACTAAAACCTAATTTTTGCTTTTGAGTTAGGCCAACTGCTTGTTAAAATGGCAATTGTAATAAGGGTTCTCTCTAAGGTGGGAGACTGCTAATGAGAAAATCATGTTTACATTGTTTACTCTTTTGTAACATTGATCTGAACAACAGGATATTCTAAACACCTATAGTAATGCTCATTCTATCCATAGGTATAAAAATTAGGCAAAACTATGTAATATTTATTTATTCACTTCCTAACTTGTCGGAGCCTGCCGACAACAAGTCAAACGGTCCTGAAAGGGGGAGTGAGGATTAAGGAAAAAAAGAGAGACAGAAAGTATTGGGAGGGCACCAGTAACTACTGAAGCCCCGAGTTTATTCGACATCTTCCTTTTATACATGCAGAAACAACCCGGGGTTACAGTTAGTCTATTATCACAACATACCAGAAACTCTATATTCTGCCAAGTCAAGGAGTCTTTGATAAAAATTAAACATTCTGTTTTCCCAGAGCTTGCATACATCTTTGTTCTTTATCTTAGTCTCAATGTCAACCCTCAGACGCAAACTACAGATACTGACGCCTGAGTCAGGATATCTCAGCCGTTTCAAGGCTGAGTCTTAATGGCCTTCAACACTAACTCTCATTATACTTTTGATGAAGCACTGAAATTTTATTCACTTGTGTTTGTTACTTCAGTAAACAAACATATAAAGTAAAGAGAAAAATTGCTAAGCATCCAGAGAGTGAGTGACACACTGTCATTAGTTTCAGCTTTGTGTTAAACCTCAAATTCCCATGAGATATTATGAGTGGATTATGCAATCCTGAAAGTGCTCAAAGTGCTAAACATTTTGCCAGAACAATTGCTTAAGTTCAGCTGAAATGGAAAAGTGTTTATCAAGGATGAACAAAATATGTTCAGAAAAGAAAAGTCACCCGTTTCTAATATATCAAACATAATGACTATTGTTTAATCGATTTATGTCTAAACGAATAGAATCCTACTCCTGCAATGAAAAGACGGTTAATGATAAATCCTACAGCTGATGATGTTTGGGTAAAAGACTATAATATTGCAAGTGTAGCCATCAATCAAAATGCAGTGTGAAAATATCTTAAATAACAGTTTTGTTGTTTTTTCAGGTGTTATTTAATGTTTTTTCCATTAATATTTTAAGCTCTTTCTTATAACATAATCTAGTTTTATCTACCTCTTATATTGCTATTATGTAAGCATTAATTGCATGAAATAATAAACTACCCTTTGATTAATCTTTTTTTTCAATACTAAAATAGTCAGTAGAGCAATGAAACCAGTTGTTAAATTATTGGAATCTCACAGGGACCTTTGTAAAGTCGATTATGGCAGATGTAGTCAGGGTAAAATGTACTATCTTACCATTTCATCTCCCTTTTGACCTATTTTAAAGTTATTTCAGTTTGGAAAATAAATATGAAGGGAAAATGCATGAGGATTAAGCCTATGGTGAATCCCTTCTGACCAGAGACCGGGGATGTGAATGGCCTTGCTATAATGAAGAGTCCATTGGAAAATGGATTATTGCATAGGCATTTAAAAAAATACATATATATGAGAAGAAAATAAAGGGACTGATGGCCCCAGAGAGACATGGGAGTGTGGGAGGTAGGGGAAGGGAGGAGGGTTGGCCAACCTA